CCAGTCAATTTTCAGTGGGGATGTTGTTAATTATGCAATAAATATCTATAATCCCTCCAGGACTTGAAATTTTAAGCCCTGATCTAGCCTATGCGAATCTGAGAGTCTGAAAACGCATCTCGAATCGCATGTGTGAACCAGGGCGGCTCCATTCACAGTTGGGTATTTTGGGATTGCTGCAGAATCGATGTGATCGCAAAACCCAGGTTCAGGTGCCATTATTTTCAATGGCACTTAAGATGTGTGGTTTGGTGTGATTGTCACACAGCAGATCGCATCGCGTGAAGCTTGTCGCACAAAAGTTGCCTTGCCCCGGTGTTAACAAACCATGCTATGCTAAAACAAAAAAAACTGGCTACCAACTTTAAAAAAAAGTTTTGCCTTCCATTATACTTTAACCACATTTTTTATTCTTGGTCATTCAGACAGTTTTTTTTTACTAAAGGATAGCCTTTCGCAACATGTTACACCCATATTCAGGGTGTAACATTGGACTGCCCCCCCCCCCCCCCCCCCCCACCTGTTACAATTTTAAAAACTGCCCGGCCGCGTCACTCATTCAGTGTTCTGTGAATGGGAAAACTACAAGTCCTGGCAACCTTTGCGACTTGTAGTTTTCAATTAACTACCATGGCTCTCCACAGTGCCGTGGTATTGCATTGAGCCTTATCTTTCCCATTCGGGATATATGAGCACACAGATACACGGACAGGTCAGAGGGAGACTTGCATAGTACCAGTGATCTGCTGATTGCTGTTGCATTGCTTTAGAGGTTACGCAAACAAAAAATAATAAATGTACTTTTTTTTTTTTTTTCCCTGCAAAAAAAGTGCATGTATTGTTTTTTTCTTATAAGGTGAACTTGTGCTTTAATTTAACTTGTCCTACAATAACAAAGCGTGATTTTTTTACTCATAAATTCTTCATCCAGTTTTGGTTTGAGTTTATTCCTTGGCAGAGTCAGTCTTTTCTGCTCATATGCTAGATGTTTCTGAAATGTTGTCAATCACAGTCCAGTACAGTCACATTCTTTCTTAGATGCATGGTGTATAAGCATGAATTCCATGTATGTGAATTAATACCTCTCTGCCCCATTGCAATGCTTAGCTATTCACCTCTATATTGTGCAAGAACAGAAAGTTTCACCACCTCTAGTGTACTTTACTTCTTCATTCTAGAATTATAGTAAGTTTTTTTTCATTTGCATACTGCTTTATATAGTAGTGAAAATGACTTAAGCAGCCTCTACAGGAATTGGGTGGGTTTTTTTTTTGTTTTTCTAATTTCCGCCAGTGGTTTAAAAAAAAAAAAAAAAAAAAAAAACTGACTTGATTCCTCCATCCACACATTCAATGTGAATGGGGGAATCCTTCCCATTGAGCTATTGTATTTTGACAGTGGGGTGACTCCCCAACCATCAGAATACATATCAACGCTGCCGACTATAGCCTGCTTCACTGATTGAGCAGCAAAAATCTAAATATTGGTAAATTGACTTCTGTACAACCACCCTGCCCATACATGGATCAAAAATCGCTTGGTCGCTGCTGAACTAGATGAATTTTGATCCGTGTATGGCTAGCTTAATGCATTGCAGAAATATCAGCCTTGAAGTCTCCCACAATTTTGCTCCGTCAATTAAATTAATTTCAGAAATTGAATCTCTGTATTTTCCTTCCTGTGAAATTTAGAGAACAAAAGCTGAAATTTTGTATGCAACACTACCGCAATGCCTTGTCTCGAGTCTTTGAGTCATATTGAAGTACAGTCTTTACATTGTGTATTGTGATGATGAAATATATGACTGTTGGGAACCTTAGATTGTAAGCTCCTTGAGGGCAGGGACCTACAAATACATACGCAAAGCGCTGCATAAATTTAGTGCCATATAAATACTAACAATAAATAAAAAAGTATCCTGAAGTGGTATTAAAACAAAAATGGAATGTATTGCAGCTTTACCACCTATTGGATGTGGTGGCTGCATTAGTTTTCTTTTTTTTTTTTTTTTCCTCTTCACCTGGTGATCTGGCCAGTAACACTTTTTTTTTTTGTATTTGTGCTTCTTCGTGCAGAATGTATGCACCCTAGGACACCTTAGGTCAGCTGCATTGTCTGGGGAGAGGGGAGTGTTAGATGCACCAACTTATTTAGATACACTAACAAATGGAAACAAAACTCCAGCTAACACTTTATAAGCAGTTATAGCAACAGTTTTTGTTTTTTTTTTTTTTTGTTTTTTTTTTTTTTTTTTTTTTTTTTTGGGATAAAGGTTTTACATAATACAAGCTGATCATTGTAAGCACCTCTGTAAGTGGTAAATTGATTGTCTTTCATGTGCTACATCTGCAGGACAGCTTGTTTTGTTGAAAAATAGGCTATTCTGGCAGGATCACCAGGTGGGAAGAAGACATAAAAAAGAAAATGAATGCTGTCATATATAAAAATTGGTAAGCTGCAATGGCCTCCATTCACTAAAACATATCTGAGGTATTTGTGTTGAGATTTTTTCCAAATATCCCCTGAGGTAATGAAAATGTCAATTCACTATGCCTGTATGAGGTATTTACCCCAAAAAGCAATAACGTTTGGTAAATGCCTCCCATAAGTCAATTCGCAAAAGGAAATAAATGCATGAGTTAGGTAATTAGGGGTCCAGGCATGCAGTATTTAACTGGTTCCCGTCCAGCCTGTTGTACAGTGACGGCTATGACGTCCTCCCATTCTTGGAGCGTGGTAGTTGGTAGAGAGTTGAGTCCCTTGGACACACATCATCATTGGCTCTTTACCCTTTATAGATGATGCGCTGGCTCTTTACCATGTGACAAGCTGTGTCCAGTCACAGCTGATCACATGTAAACAAATGCTGGTTATCTGCATTTCCATTCCTCAGAGCTATCGCTGTCTGAGGAAAGCTGATAACCTGCTTCATCAGCGGACATCAGTGAAGAAGAAAAATTACTTATTTGCTAAATTTTATAATAGAAACTAAGAAATGTTTTTGTTCAAAGTTTTTGGTCTTTTTTTTGTTTTGTTTAGCAAAAAATAAAAAAACCCATTGGTGAATATATACCACCAAAAGAAAGCTATATTTGTGTGAAACATTTTATTTATATTTAAATATGGGTATAGTGCATGACTGTGCAATTTGTCATTCAAAGTGCAACAGCACTGACAGCTGAAAATTGGCCTGGGTGTGAAGGGGGTGAAGGTACCTGGTATTGAAGTGGTTAACCACTTCCAGTCCGGACACTTTTACCCCCTTCCTGTCCAGGCCAATTTTCAGCTTTCAGCGCCATCACACTTTGAATGACAATTGCGCGGTCATGCAACACTGTACCCATATGAATTTTTTAGCGTTTTTTTGAGACAGATAAAGCTTTTATTTTGGTGGTATTTATTCACCACTGGAATTTTTATTTTTTTTGCTATGTAAATTTAAAGTCCAAAAAAATTGAGAAGTGTTTTTCTTATAAAATTTTGCAAATAGTATTTCATCATAAATCTTGGCCAAAATTTATTCCGTTATTTTTAGTAAAGAAAAAAAAAAACCCAAATTTAGTTTATAACTAAAAATTATAATTTTTAAACTTTTTTTTTTTTTTTTTTTTTTACATACGGTCACCAAAGCAGTACAGTGTCACCGACACTGTACTACTTGTGGGGGGTGATGAAAATTATTTCTTTTTTAACACTGAATGCTTTTTACACCAATAAAGGATGTAAAAGCAATAATTTCTCCTTCTCTCTAGCTGCATTCTTGCAGCCATTGAGAACTACTGAGTGAACTGTGATTTGGTCACAGCTTGTCACATGGTAAAAGGCTGTTGTGAATAGCCTTGTACCATGTGACCTCTGTGATCATTCACAGATTTCACACGTAGTAAGCAATGATGTCACAAGTGACATCTTGCTTACTACTCTGCATGTGATCACTGATTGGCCAATCAATGATCACATGATCGGGACTACGTACAGAGGTCCCGTCCGACGATCTGTGTTCCACTGTGTCCGGAGGACACAGCGGGCACCGTATTGCAGTACTGTGCGCTCCCAGGGAGCGCACACAAGCAGGGTGTGGGGAGGCCGTTAATAAACGCCCACCCGACCCTGCACTGCCACCGTCCGGCCGTTTATATATACAATGGCCGGACAGGAGATGGTTAAGGAATGTAAAACTAGAATAGCCAATTTTAGAGTAGTCTCTACCTTTTTGAAACAGTAGTCTTACAGGAATGCAAGGAAACCTAAATATGGAAAAACAGAAATATTGGTGTTGCTTTACTAAAGGCAAACAGACTGTGCACTTTGCAAATTGCTGCAGCACTTAGGATATGAAGTAAAACTTCACTTTTCAAGGAATACCCTATCATGTGCAAGGAAGATTAAAACAAAAAAAAAGCTACATTTTTGCTTCCACATGATTGAATGATGGAACTCAACAGAGCTTCCTCTCATTTACTAAAGACATGACTTTCTTTTTCATTTTGGAGCAATGGATTGTTAGAACCCCTGGCAAGTTTTTTGCCATCTGTGTCCCTTCAGGGAGATTTCCCCAGTATTGGTGTTCGATGTCAACCAAAAATGAGGGAATTTCTTTTCCTTTCCATGATGAAGCGAAACAGCAACAATGGAGTGAATCTCCCTAATGACAAACAGTGATAAAAACTGACAGGTGTTCTTATCCCTCTCCACTCTATCCACCTCACTGGATATCATGTCATGAGCTAAATACTGCACATTTCAATGAAATAACGTGCCTTATTTTAGTAGTGGTTTTTTATTTTTTTCTTCCTTTCTTTTTTTGTGAATTGAAAAATGCAATGAGTTATTTTACCTCAGATCTTGGAGGAAAATAACTTTTTTTCATTAATTGAGCCCAATATGTTTGCTTTTGGGTGTAATAATGCTTTAAATGAAATGGACATAAAACCTATCGGTCGTTTCCAATCAAACTGAAATGTTAATAAAAACATTTTGTTGTTTCTGATTTTTCACAGGTCAGTCTTATGAAATCAGGATGTTGGACAATAGAAAGCTAGGAGAACTACCAGAATTAAATGGCAAATTAGTTAAGGTAAGTTTCATAGGTTTTGTTGCTTAAAAGCTGCTATAGCATAAAATGTACACTGGTATTGCTGTGGTTCATAAATTTTAAGTCTTTCACTGCCAAAGCAATTTGTTCATACATTTTTTTTTTTTCTTCACATACTTAACACATGATTTTAGGTCTGAAGATTAGTTAAAATTCAAAACATCTTTCCTGAAAGCATACACCCTGGAGAATAAAAATGTGATGGTTCAATTTCCCCAGTTGCCTTCCAGGCCAGCCCGTGAGGCTAGGCCGTCATATGGGAAATCATCCTGCATGTCAAAAGTTTCAGGATGGCCTTCAAAGATGCGTACAGTATTCGGCATATTCAAACCATGGCCTGCCATTTGGCCTATCTTTCGGCCCCAAGATTTTCAGCAAAGAAAGGAATCCTGATCATTCTGTATTTGGATGATCTCTTATTGCCAGCCCCGTCTTTGACAGAAGTTGCTGGAGGATCTCCAGATTGCTCAAAACCATTTTCATTTCCTAGGATGGGTCATCAACTCAGAAAAGTGGAACCTCATTCCTTTCCAAACTATAGTGTTTCGGGGGTACGAGATTCACTCGGAGATCTGGAAGATTTATTCCAGAGGAAAAATGCAGCAAGGTCATGCACTACATTGCTCGTCTTCAAGCTGATCTCCCATTTACTTTGAGGGAAGTTTCAGCGGCAGTGGGTCTTATGACCGCCTTCTTACCCGGGGTACCCTGGGCCTGTTATAATAAGAAGGCTCTGCAGCTCATTCTTCTCAGGGCCTGGGACAGCTCAAGAGACACCTTGGAGAACAAGGTCCTCCTGCCACACAGGGTCAAACAGTCCCTTTGGTGGTGGAGAGTGAGGGCTTGTTTTCAGAGGTTTGGAATGGAGTTGGCCCATTTCCAGAACGATGACTACAGACAGCCAGCTCGTGGGGGTAGGGGGTGCATTTAGAAGAAAGTGTAGCCAAGGAATACAATTCCCAGTCAATTACCCATCCTCATGGGCTGTCCTGGAAGACTCATGGAAGTAGAGTTACCGGTAACTCTAACTCTTTAGTTAATTTTAGTTAAAAGTAAATGTACATTGAAGTTTTTCTTTACTTTTTTGTCATTATTTTTGCACAACTGTTTTATCAAATGCAAAGATTCAGTAAAAAGAATGTTTATTTTAACGAACACTATTGCAACTTCTTACCCAGTTTTTCATTAACTCTAAAAGATGAGGTTATGATTACCCAGTTTTTGATTAAGTCTAAAAGATGAGATTATGCTGAGTAAATATATACCCAACATGTCAAGCTTAATATTTGCGGGTGCCTGGAAAGCGACGGCAAACTTTGGTACCCTATATTTTTCATAGGTGACAGTTTTAATAGTCTCTACAAATCATTAGTTTAGAGTTAGTGTTACTAAACCCACAACAGTAAAATCAGTCTGTATATGCAATAAAGCATGCTTGTTATACTCACTGTGTAACCTAAGGGGTTAATCCTCTGCATTGTGTAAAAAGGCTGTTTCATCCTGACTTCTCTGATTTTCCCCTTCTTCCAGTGTCCCCTCTCTTATCTCCTGATAAGATGCATTGTGTGGAGTCACTCTGCACATGCTCAGTTTGGTTTGTGTTGCTAGAGAGGTTTTTTTGTTCTTGGGAGAGCGCATGTGATCAGCACAAGTCCAATCAGCACTGTCCAGATAGAGGTTGGGGATTCTACATCCTCCTAGAGCAGAGAACACCTCTTTCAAGCTTTAACATGTACTCTTCTGGACACTGATGGCATTCACAAGACTGCTCTAACTGCTGATGAGAAAAGGTATTTAGCAGTTAATATTTACTAAAATAATTGCACTTCCATGTTCTGTGTACTGAGGGGTATCCGATATAGTGAATGCAGGTTCCTGGGTTTAGTAATACTTTAACCATGAATAATGGGTCTAGACTTCTTGCTCAGCATGATTTCATTTGTTAGCTGTAAACAGTGAGCACATACGGGAAATAAAAACGCTCAATTTTAAGAGAGCTGATTTTCCATGGCTGAGAGCTGCTCTCCAATACTTGGACTGGGAGGGAATATTGGCATTGATGAACACAACAGAAATGGGAGTTCTTTAAAAAGACTGTATGTTAACACACTGCAAAATATTTTCCCATGGGCAACAAGTTTAAAAAGCTAAAAATCAAACCTATGTGGTTTACGGCCAAAGTTTAAAAAGCTATAGTCAATAAGAAAAGAGCTTTTATTAAATATAAAAATGAAGGAACGCTATCATCATTTAACTATTACAAAGAATTCTTCAAATATATCAATAGTAATAAGGTCCGGTCCGAGCATTTAGGCCCTTTACAAAATAATCTAGCGAGTGGGTGATTGGGGACAAAGAAGGCAAATTTTTTTCAATACCTTCTTCAGCTCTATGTATTCAAAGCAGCATGGGGGAGCTCTTGGCCATAATGGGCATGGTATTGACACAGCTCCACATGATCCACATTGGCTCACAATAGCTATGATCCAAAAATATTTAGACAGTATAAAGGTGAATAAAGCACCTGGGCTGGATGGCATACACCCACTGGCCCTTAAAGAATTGAGCTCTGTCATTTCAAGGGCATTAAGTAAATACACCTCAATAATCTAAATACGTGGAACCCCCCTACATTCACCCCACAAACGAAAGTGACACTTTCACCCTAGAAAGGTAATAAATGTTATAAACCTTTCTTACACCTAACTCACCAAAACCAAGTAAGTAATCTAAGTACTTCCCAACCACTTAAAAAAATAATTTTATATCTCCCAAATTAGTATTTGAATAAAATAAATAAATGAAAAATGTCCAAAGCAAAAGTCCACCAAAACCATATATGTCCAGTAGGTAGAATTTCCAATTCCTATTTCAATCCTCGTGATACCTCAAAAAAAAAAGAATACTCATATAGTGTATTACCTTCTAAATAACAAATTTCAGTGCATAAGTGCAATCAATAAATATGTGCGCCACAACCAAAATCAAAACCAATACAACTGTGATTCTTGTGAATCATGCGATTTAAAAATAATAAAAAAACCCAAATATATTCAAAAATTATATAAGTAAAACTATCATCAACTATAGTAAATAAGTAAAGCAAATAAGATGTTTAAGTGAACCCTTCAATTCATTTAGTGAGCACTCCATGACCACCTCCCAAATAGTGATATTAAATACCATAACCCTCCAGTAGGATTCATAAGCTTATCTCGATATATTCCTGGTTAATGTATTACTTCCAAGCTTTCATTTACTTCATAAGCCCATCCTCCATATTCCTCATAAAGCAAAGGAGACTCATGTAATAGGTATTCAAAGTATAAGGATAATTTAATAAATATCTTACATTGGGGATAAATAAATAGCAGCTCTGTGGCAAACAAACCAGCCTTGCAGTCTTTAGGGCATAGGAACCACATTTTCCAGCAGTCAAAATGGCCACGGCAGCACTTCCAGTTTTGCGTGCGTCTTGACGTCACGTCCCTAACGCGTTTCAGACTTCATCTGAAGATCCATCACTTATTTACTACAGTTGATGATAGTTGTACTTATATAATTTTTGGATATATTTGTGTTTTTGTTTTTTTTTTTTTAATCGAATGAGTCACAAGAAATCTGTTGTATTGGTTTTGATTTTGGTGCACGTATTTATTGATTGCACTTATGCACAGAAATTTGTTATTTAGAAGGTAATACACTAAGTATTCTTTTTTCGAGGTATCACGAGGATTGAAATAGGAATTGGAAATTCTGCCTACTGGACTTATATGGTTTTGGTGGACTTTTGCTTTGGACTTTATTTGGACATTTTTTTAATTATTTTATTCAAATATTTGGGAGATAAAAAATTTTGTTATGTGTTTGGTAAGTACTTAGATTACTTACTTGGTTTTGGTGAGTTAGGTGTAAGAAAGGTTTATACCATTTCAAAGGCATTGTTTCTAATTTTTAGGGACTCTTTAATGACGGGCATAGTACCACTGGACTGGCATAAGGGCAATGTGGTGCTAATATTTAAAAAGGGGTCAAAATCTTTACCAAGTAATTATAGACCTGTTAGTTTAACTTCTATAGTTGGGAAGATACTGGAAAATTTAATAAAAGACCACATAGATGAGTTCTTGCTGCAAAAAAATACTTTAAGCAACAGACAGCATGGATTCATGAAAGACAGAAGTTGTCAAACAAATCTGATTTCTTTTTATGAGAAGTTGAGCAAAACCTTGGACAGAGGGGTGGCGGTGGTATACTTGGATTTTGCAAAAGCGTTTGACACAGTTCCCCACACACGGCTAATGTGTAAGGTAAAGTCTACGGGCTTGGAAAAATCTGTATGTAAATGGATAGAAAACTGGCTAAAAGATCATATTCAGAGAGTAGTGGTTAATGATTCATACTCTGAATGGTCTGGGGTTGTCAGTGGTGTACCCCAAGGTTCAGTGTTGGGACCTTTACTTTTTAATATTTATAAACCATATAGGGTTTGGGATTAAAAATCTCATTTCAGTCTTTGCAGATGACACCAAGCTGTGCAGTGGAATGACGTCTTTTCAGGATGTCTTCAATTTACAAGCCAACCTCAATGCACTGTTTAATTGGGCAACTGTGGCAAATGAGGTTTAATGTTGATAAATGTAAGGTTATGCACTTGGGGGCTAAGAATATGCATGCATCATACATACTAGGGGGGTACAACTGGGGGAATCAATGGTGGAGAAGGATCTGGGGGTTCTGGTAGATCACAAGCTTAATAATGGCATGCAATGCCAAGCTGTGATTTCTAAAGTGAGCGAAATCCTCTCTTGTATTAAAAGAGGTATAGACTCCAGAGAGAGAGATATCATTTTACTTCTGTACAAATCATTAGCAATACCTCATCTGGAACATGCAGTTCAGTTTTGGGCACCAGTTCACAAAAAGAACATTGGGGAACTGGAGAAAGTACAGAGAAGGGCAACCAAACTGATAAGAGGCATGGAGGAGCTCAGCTATGAGGAAAGATTAGAGGAACTGATTTTATTCTCTCTTGAGAAGTGGACATTAAGGGGTGATATGATCAACATGTATAAATACATCAGTGGGTCATATAGTGAACTTGGTGTAAAGTTATTCACCCTGAGGTCATCACAGAGGACATGGGGGTACTCTTTACGTCTGGAGGAAAAGGAATTTAATCTCCAAACCCAGAAAGGTTTCTTCACAGTAAGAGCTGTGAAAATGTGGAATAGACTTCCTCAAGAGTTAGTTCTGGCAAGCTCAGTGAAGGGGAGGGGGGGGGGATTGTGTTGGTTTAAGTGTTTTGGGTCTAACTATTTTTACTTTCAGTATAACTTTATCACGGGATGAAAAACACTGGATTGCCTTCATTAGTAAGCCAGCACGCTGGTAATGAATTGTACATAATGAAAAAAAAAACCAAATAAACATAAGCCTTATATGCAGTATGCTGTTGTAATTTTTTGTTTCTGTCATTGCGATTGTAAGGCAAACTATGTACACAATATCAAAATTCTGATTTTTTTTTTTTTTTTTTTAATAACCAGTCCTAAACGGGCAAAAAGCTGGAAGGACTTTGAAGAAATGAATGCTACTGCTGTGAAATGAGAATTCAAGTCATTTTTTCAGCAGCTCTGCTCTCTTGAATTCTCCTTCAACAGGGACTCGACCTTCAATGTAATCAGATGTTAAAGCGGAGCTTCACCCAAAAGGGGAAGTTCCGCTTTAAAGATAGGTCCCCTGCTACCCATTAAGGATGAGCACCTTTAGGGAGCTGGTATCTGAAATTGACAGGTACCCACTCCCACTTACGCTGTGATCGCCCAGGCGATGGGAAGTGGAAGTTGTTGTAGCTGCTGTGACTGGAACCCCACTTTAACAAAGAGCAGGTGCTGTGGGCAAGGAGAGCAGGGAGAGCTGAGCTGCTGAGAGCTGATATGGAATACTGAAGTGCCTTTCTTTGTGAACTGGAATGATGCCTTGTTCCACAGGCTGCAAATCAAATAACTTATCGTAAAAAATAGTTTGTTACGGCAATATTTATCTGGATTACTAATTGTTCTGCCTACAGAGCATCTTTCGGGTGGTATTCCATGACCGGCGTCTGCAGTACACAGAGCACCAGCAGCTGGAAGGCTGGAGATGGAACAGACCTGGAGACAGAATACTTGACATTGGTAATAAGCATTTATAATGAGTGCTACGTCTGTGAAAGATGAAATTGTAGCAACTCTGTGGATATTGTGTTTTTTTTTTAAATTTTTTTTTTTTTTTTTAAAAAGATGGCAGGACTGACACAAATTTTAGGGTAGAATAGTTATGGTGGGGGAAACATTGCGGTAAATATCTGTTTCTGATCTGACCATAAAAGTTATATGGAGAGCCATTCTAGCTGTAACTGTTCCTATTCTCTATGCCAGCCAGTTTAATACTTCATGTACTGCCATTGTGGTTATCATGTGGATCTTGAAGCGCTAGGATGTTGGCTTTAATTGCCAATAGGATTTTATGAATGCTTTGTATGTTCTCACCATTTGTGTGAGTTTCCTTGAAACATAATTTCTTCCCAAAATCCAAAAATCACAGCTGATCACATGTAAACAGGGAAATGCCAGTTATCTGCATTTCTCTCCTCTAGAGCTGTCACGCTGACAGCTCGAGAGGAGAGCTGGTAATCGGCATTCCGCGGAGGGGACATGTACACTGATCATCAGGGCACTGATGATCAGTGTGCCCTGATGATCAGTGTGGGCCCCAGAAGTGCCACCTGCCAGTGCCCATCAGTGCCTACCAGTGCACATCAATGCCACATATCAGTGCCCATCTGAGCTGCCTTTCAGTGTCACCCGTCAGTGCCGCCTATCAGTGCGCATCAGTGCCCATCAGTGATGCCTGTCAATGCCCATCAGTGCCACCTACCAGTGCCTCCTCAGTGGCCATCAGTGCATCTTATCAGTGGCCATCACTACAGCCTCATTAGCGCACATCAGTGAAGGAGAAAAATCGCTTATTTACAAAATTTTATAACAAAAAAAACTAAGAAACTTTTTTTTTTTTTTCAAAATTTTCAGTGGTTTTTGGTTTAAGAAAAAATAAAAAACCCAGAGGTGATTAAATACCACCAAAATAAAGCTCTATCTGTCTCAAAAAAATTTATAAACATTTCATATGGGTATAGTGTTGCATGACCGCGCAATTGTCATTCAAAGTGTGACAGCACTGGAAGCTGGAAATTGGCCTGGGCAGGAAGGGGGTATAAGTGCCCTGTAGGCAAGCGGTTAATTAAATGTCTGGAAAGGAAAAAAAAAGCATTACATTTCAACAATGCATGCACATTTCCTCATGTTTTGTGTTTAGGTTAAGCCTGTGCTCCTGCATGTAGATCTTGGCTAGGGCTTGAAAACCCAGGGTCATTTGTTTGATTAAAAAGAATATCTAATGACAATGCTTTACGTAAAGTAAAAATAAATTTGTATTATTGATGTAAAATAAGCAGGAATGATTTTGCCTTATCAGCTGGCTCATTAAATTGACTTTGTGGAGTTTTTTTTTTAGAACATTAGAACACTGCACAGTAAATGCACCTATAGTATACATTTTCATTTTAATAAAATAGTTTTGGTTTTTTTTTTTAAGTATTTGTTAATGATTTTCACAAAAGACACCGCTTACAGCAGTAAGAGGAATAAAAACCAAGGTACGGTAGTACATTGCCACAATAGTGCCAGAGAAAGATGAGAGAGGGCTACACAGAGCCCACATAAGGCAATTAATGCAAACCTAATATAATTGTAATGTAACTCTCAGTGTAAATGAACAGTGCAGTAGCTACACAAGTACACGGAAACACTGGTACCAGCGCCACCCTCCCCATGCCCCCTCTGTAGCATGTTTAATACCAACCCAGAGGGAAGAAGACATTTGGGATAAAGAAATATCCCCCGTAGAAGGAATCGGAAGTATGAAGCCAGGGTTGCCAATCTTTGGTAAACTTCTTGAGACGGGCCTTCTCTTTATAATTTGGCTTGAATTTAGGTAAACCAACTGTATAACTGTTTGCTAAACTGGAAAAGCTCTGCTTTGCCTTCAATAAAAACTGACCTTGCGAGTATAAAAAAAAAAGCATACGGAGCAGATAAAATTGTATGAATTAGTGTAAAATACTTTGCTAAAACAAAAATTGGCCTGTTAAATCTCAACGCTAATACCTTTACAAATATCTGTATGCAATTTACTGGTACCAGTTTCATTACAATAGCAGCATTGTTACACTGTGTGTTCTGTTTGATTTGATTAGATAATAAAGTAGCTTTTCTTTCTCTTAAACCCTAGATGTTCCAATGTCTGTGGGTATAATTGACCCACGAGCAAATCCAACACAGCTTAATACTGTTGAATTTCTCTGGGATCCTTCGAAGAGGACATCTGTGTTTATCCAAGTAAGAGACTCTCCGCTATCTCTTCTCATGGCCGTTTATGAAAATAAACCTAATCTTTTATTCCTGACCACATCTTTGTTCTAAATCACACATTCACTTGTCTCTGCTGGACCCTACTGTGTTTACTCCACACTGCTCCTGTGTTTCAGGACTCATTCTTAAAATGTAAGTTGTGTTATTTCATGAACCATTCTCTGCACAATGCTGTAGAAGACAGTGATTGGAGAAGAGTTTGACCACATGACTTTTAACAGGTCATGTGAGCAGACTCTCCATCCTCCAGCATTTTTTGCCCATTCAAGCGGCAGCACGTTTTGCCCATTTTGGTAAGCAGCAATATGGTTTCATACTGTTTCTTTATAAATACCCCTGTAAGTGTGCATATCGTAAGGCAAGTAGATTCAGTTGTGATATGCAGTGGACATACCTGAACAGTTCTCATATTCCTAGATTGTTCAGCTTAGCTGCATCACACTGCAGTTTAGGCAGAGAGGTAGTTCTTAAGCCTGTAGGTGTGGTGATTCAACATTCAAACTGTTCTTTCTTCTTGTGCACATAAAAGTACATTAAGGTTACAGCAAGTGGAGATTTATGACTCTGTGTTTATTAGTATTTATCACTTCAGTGCTGTGCTAAAGTGTGCTGAAAAGGTAATCTATTGACTACCCTACCAGTACATTGATCATTAAAGTGATGGTAAAGTCACATCTATTATTGTCTTTTATCACCTCGGTTTTAGGAACATATTCAATGCAGTGTGTGTGTGTTTTAGTTCTAAAGCTAAATGCCGCCTTTGCCTAGCTTTGCTGTGTTGGCGCATGTTCTCTCTCTGCTCTCCTTCTCGATCTAAGGAGTGCAGTGGGAGGGGCTTAGATTCCCCACTAACGTATGGAAAACGGCAGAGGGAGGACATGTGACCACACAGCAGCCCTGGGAAAAGAAGGTGTTTAGCATTATAATTGTAAAAAAATACACACACTGTACTTAAATGTCCCTGAAACAGGATAAAAGTATATAATAGAGATGTTACGTTACGCTTTACTAAAGGGGAGGAGCAGCTGCAGCAGAATACTCAGTCGAGGTAAGAGGAGAGGGCAGGAGATCGGCTTCATAGTTCTCAGACTACGGAAATGACAAGGAGAGACACTGAGGAGAGAGCAGGATGATAGAGGTATGTAATCTGATCATGCTATCAGGAATCGGCAGCCGTGATGAGCGTGGTCAGTACACACAGGGTAAGATGGGAGCAGGCAGGATCAACCAGGAATTCTTTAACATAGAAAGCGACAAATGACATAGTAAAAGCACTGTGCTATCTTGTGTCTGAAATGGACTTTAGGGGAAGGTATAAAGTTGCTGTGTGTTTCTCTCTCTCTCTCTCTCTCTCTCTCTCTCTCTCTCTCTCTCTCTCTCTCCTTTTTTATAAAGGGTGCAGTTTTTTTGGCATTTCACTTCCTGACAAGGTCACTTTTGAGCAGATTAGGTCATACATCACAGGACACAGGAGAGTTAGTTCATAGACCATTGCGTTTATGCATCACCCCCAGGTAATTGGACACTGGCAATTAGCAAATCTTGACTCAGCCCTTCATAACTCCTCCCATTCTCAGCAATACCTCTTGCTAAAAGTCTTTCTATTAGGATGTACAAAGATCCAGCTGCCGAGCCTTGGTGCTCTGAAGCCTCAGCAGTTATCTGAATATGTCCCTTTGGATTAGTTTTTAGAGGGGGGCTGTACTAGCACCCGGGTGAGAACAGGGAAAGCCTGTAAGCTGCAACTGTCACTGAGTCCTTGGCAGGCAGTTGCATTGTGTGGGTTTTATACTTTTGTCTAGTCTACTGCAGCAGAGCCCAGTTCCTGAAGAACTTGCAGGGTAGCATGACTAGATTAGAAGGCATGATTGAACAGTGTGTCAGCTCTTCTGCATGCCATAGAAGTATACCTACTGTGGTGGGTCCCTAGTGGGTTTTTTTGGCTTAGGGTTGTAAAGGGAATTGGGGCCCGGTTGGCTGGTTCCTGGAAGCTGCTTGTGACCGATTTTCAGTTGGTACCACTAAAGTGTGCCATTGCCTTGTACGTTAAGCCTGTTGCCTATTATTATTGGTTGACGCTGGGAGTGAATATGTGCAGGTGCCATATTGGGTCAGCTCTGTCCATGACAACACCAACCAAGCAGGAAATGCATTCTGCGTCTCTACTATATTCAGCACAGGCCGCAGCACAACAGAGGACTTTAGACTTCCACGTGGTTGGAACACTAGGAGGCTACCCCCTTCCCTCTTGAATCAGTAGTGCGCCCTTGAGGGTTTGGTGGATCTGGCACTAGGGGGAGAAGAACTAAGAGGATTAAACCCCCAAATTTTTTGGAGACCATCTTCAGCATCAGGTTTTTAACTCACTCCTGCAGGGGCTTCTCCTTCGGGTACCTTGTCACCATATCTGGGTACAATCCCTCTAGAAATTTTCTGCTGCCTTCTCCACTATACTGACACACATGGCAGATATCAGTAAGGTTTTTTTTGAAGCAGCTCAGATGTAAACGGTCTAGGTATCTGTCACATTAGGAACTACCTTGTGAGTTTACCCTCTCACCGTTTCTGGGATTGGAAGAAGAGCAGGAAGGGCCCAAAGGAAGCAGATGCATGTGACACAGAAGAATCCTCTGAGAACATTCTGGCTCCAAACACAACCCATTTAGAAATTAGTTCAGTTTAAGCATATTCCCACATCCCATATATTGTATCTAGAGTCACCAAATCATAGTAGCAAGGGACTTTATAGGAGCATAAATGTTAAGGTTGGCACCATCAGCCCAACAAGTACATATAAAATGTATTGTACAAAATTTAACACATAGGGATACCGTGACATATGACAAAAAGGGTTTAACAGGTCCTTTGCATTAATACATTATACGAAAATATGTCATATATAGCTTGACACTTTTCAAATAATATACTTTCATTAGGAACATTTGTGGATAAATTCTGTGTTAAACCACAGAACATAGGAGTAAAAATACATAGAGCAGTGACCTAAAAAAGGCATTTCTCAACAGGTGGGTTATGGAGGACCCAGGAGCACAGAGACAGCCAGGCATGCACAAGAGATGCTAACAAGGCTGCCGCCAGGCCCAAGGTTTTTAAATCACCATTGTCAAACTCAAAGAATGTCCAAAGACACTAGTGGAGAGTACATATTCATAAAGGAAACTCCCATACACACAGTACATTCCTATGTCAAAAGATAAGGTCTAGTTGTCCATTAACAAAGCACAAAGGAACAGAGCATGGTAATCGCTATATCCTGCCTTAAAGGGTTGATATACGATCAAAAAGAAGGGGGTCCTCAGGCTTGGGATTTGTACCCAAAGTGGATTAATCCTCTGCAGACAGAAATGGAAAAACCTGGCAGGGGAAATCAATCTACTCAGGCAGTAGAACAGACCACCAGTTTCCCCCAGCAGCAAGGAGGAGTTGGTCATGGTATCTACATGTGTTTTTAACTTTTGTACAATAAACGTTCTACTTTTTGTGTGTGCTTCTTGGGTTGATGGTGCTGCCCTTACATTCTGGCGTACAATGTTTACCAAACTTAAACAGCCACAGGGAGTTTTATTACATACGTGGACCTTAAACAATCTAAAGCTATCATGGCTCTATACAAGGACTGCGCACATCAGAATAAAGTATTTACGTGCCCTATTTGCACAACTGTATCCATTGGATGACTTCTACACAAAATGGATGGTCCCAGCTTTAGATCTTGCTTTTCTTTTTTGAATAAGAGTACATTCCCAGTGAACAGTGTTTAGGGGTCCTGCAAGTACAGCCATGGAACCTGCCATTGTATCCATATGGGTTTGTCAAAACCTTCCTAATTTTGGCAAAGTGCATAACAGAGAAACTGGAGTTATGAAATCGGGTTCTGCCACTATGTTGCACCTGGAGCTTTGTGTTAAGTTGTTTTTTTCTCCATGTAGATGGGTTGGGAGATTCTTTTCAACTCTCTCACCTGGGACTTGTCAGTTTACATGAGCGAGCACTAAGGCTAAAATTCTGGTCAGTAGTGCTCTGCTGAAAACGTACACCTCATTGGCAATGCCTTGGATACCTTTATCCAAAAGATTATGGTAGGAAAGAGCACTCTTACTGCCTCTGAAGAAATGGAATAAGCCTGCAGAGCAAAAGCAGGCTTCATCTGGAAATAGTTCCTTTCAGAAATTGAAAGGGGGGGTTAATGTTTAAAAAAATTAGGGCCAGGGTGCAACACAGTACAAGTCCTAGAGAACTTTGGCAGGGTCCCCAGTCAAAAAAGTCAACCCTGGGACTGCCACATTGTCTAGAATGTCTGGTACTTGCTTGTGTTTACCCTTCTCCAGGAAAAAAAACTCCAACCCTCTGGTCTATGGTTTGGGAGTTGAGTTCCCTAGAGCGTCCTTTTCGGCTAAAAGATTTTGTTCTGGGTTGCTATGTAAACTGTTTCCTGTTGCTAGATCTTGATGGGATTGCTTTAGAATGTCCCAGTGGTCTATTATTAATTAACTATCCTGTGTGTGATTAAGAAAATGGGATTTTTTACTTTCCTACAAGAATGAGCCTGTACCTTTTTTCTTGTAGTACACCACAAGACACTGATCCTTCCCCTGGGAGGGGTTATGTAGAGCTGAGTCAGGCTTTGCTGTTTTGCCAGTGTCCAATTACCTTGAGGCAAAACATAACCTAATGGTCTAAGAATTTAACTCTCCTGTGTCCTGTGATGTACTCCAGGAAATGGATTTTTACAAATAAAATTATTTGCAAACATTTTGAGTACATAACCAAAATTGCCCCAATATACAGTGCTCAGCATAAATGAGTACACCCCAACAGATTTGTCAGAAAACCTTTTACGTTTTCTTTCAGAATCAACATTTTGTGTTGAACACTACTACAAAATACATCCACAAAGGCTAACCATTGATTAAAAACAAAGTTTTTCCTAACAAATTCATTCAAGACCATGTTGCAAAATCGAATACACCCCAATGAAAGTCTTAGGACTTGGTTGTCTAAACTTTAGCTTTGCTCCGAAGTAACAAGAATTCAGCTACAGTTGAGTCTAATTATTCATTAAACAGAAGTCCAGCAGAGAGTTGATTATAAAAGGGCATTACTTAACAAAGAAAACCCCTTCCCATTTCATGCTGTCAGCAATGGAACCACATGGAAATGTCACTGGCCTGAGAATTTTTTTTACACAAGAAAGGTGAAGGCTACAAATTCACCAGCAAAGCTTTACTTATCAGTCAGAATATTGTAGTAAAAGTGATACAAAAATTTAGGAAAGATGGAACTGCAGCCATCTCACAGAGACGTCCATGCCATCCACAGAAGTTAACACCTCGATAGGAACATCTTCTGATGAGAATGGTTAAAGAAAAATTCCATGCAAGTTCACTTCAGTTAGCTAAAGCAGTAGAAAGCCAAACTGGGGTGATTGTTTCCCGTGACACAATATGGCGTACACTGCAGAGGAATGGCATGCATGGGTGTCGTCCAACGTCCACGAAGTAAGCTCCTAAAACCTGTGCGCAAAAAAGCCAACCTAGAATTTTCCAGGGCCCATGCTGAAAAAAGACTACTGGGACTCTGTACTCTGGAGTTATGAGACCAAGATAAAGTTTTTGGAACTGATGGCTTCAAAACTGTATGGCGTTACAAAAGTAAGTACAAAGGAAAATGCATGGTGCCTACAGTGAAACATGGTGGTGGCAGTGTCCTTCTGTGGGACTGCATGAGTGCTGCTGGTGTTGGGGAGCTGCATTTCATTGATGGTATCATGAGTTCACAGATGTACTTGCTCTATATTGAAAGAGAAGATGCTGCCATCACTCCGTGCCCTTGGTCGTCGTGCACTTTTCCAACATGAATGATCCAAAACACATCTATGGCCACTGTTGCATTTCTTAAGAACAGGGTGAAAGTGATTCAGTGGCCAAGTATGTGTCCTGATCTGAACCCAATCAAACACTTATGGGGAATTCTGAAGAGGTAAGTTGAGCATCACTCTCCATCCAGGCTATAAAGAAGGTTGTTTTTGAAGAATGGAAAATAGATGTTGCAATATGTTGCCAACTTGTTCATTCTATGCCTAGAAGACTTGGTGCTGCCTTTTACAAATCATGGAGGTCATACAAAATACTAGATGCAGTAGTTTTTGTTGTGGGGTGTATTCATTTTTGCAACAACTAATTTGAGTAAAACTGAAGATTTTGTAATCTATATATTAACCTTCCTTTCATATAACGAGCTAGAAAATGTTCTATAAAACTCAGTTTTGTCAAAACTTTGGAAATTGTTCTTGTGTTCATTGACATATTGATTAAAATCTTACTTTTCAAAAAGGGGTCTACTCATTTATGCTGAGCACTGTATAATTATAGTTTATTAAAAGCAGAGTTTAGTGAATGGGATAAACCGAATACTGCTTTTGTATTAAATTTGTATTTCACATTTTCTTATATAGGTACACTGTATTAGTACAGAATTTACCATGAGGAAGCATGAGGGGGTGAGAAAGGTGTACCCTTCCGAATCCAGATAGATACCTTCAAAGAGAATGACAATGGAGAGTACACAGAACACCTGCATTCAGCCAGCTGTCAGATTAAAGTCTTCAAGGTATGCCACTTAGCCAGCAGCTATTTTATATTTTCTTGATTTTTTTTTTTTTTTTTTTTTTGTTTGATTTTGAATAATTAAAATTGTTCAGATTGTTGGGTCTGTGTGTAAAGTATTAAAAAAAAAAAACTTGACCAGTGTATATGTTCTGTTTTTGCTTTTTGCTATTCTACTATCCAGCTAGCTGGTTAATCACACCCCCTTCCCACACATGTACCTTAACAAGCCTTGTGCCCAGACCATTTTAGCAGCAACCATCCCATGTTGTGTTTTTAGGTATGCTTTTACCTGTAAAAGCCTCTCTTGTACTCTCATCTAAAAGGCCTGAGACTGCTAATGGGCACCACCATGTTGAAAGTGATGGCTTCAACTTCAGCAGACTCAGAACTTTCACTCAAGTGATACTGTAGTATTCCAATTTGCTGCTTCATCAGCTCTGTAAAAGGTTATATTGTGAGGTGAGGGGGCAGAGGATCTGGACCAGCACAGAGTAATTAGACATGCCAGAAGAGAACCACCATGATACAAGGTAGAATGGAGCTGTGCAAGAGAATTTACACTTTTTGGAATAGCCAAAGGTTCTAGCAAATTCAGAAACGTATTGCAAGTCAATAAAAAAAAAACAAATATATAATGCAGCGCTATAAGATGAGATAAAAATCAATGAACATGACAAGTGACTATGCAAAAGTGAAGTGCGACATAATTAAGTGCTAAAGTGACCACTGAGCAAAAAGTGTCTCCAATAGTAGCGAGGATGGTAGTGACTTGAAATATTGGATAGTGAATAGTCCAACAAAAATATGGTGATATACAATGTAAATATTGATGAACAAAGTCCAAAAAATAGTCCAAAATATAAGGGATTGCTGTATGAACGCACTCATCGAAGCGCATTAGAATTGCGCATAGAACCATATCCAAGGTCTCTGCGGTGAACGCATGGACACAGGAAAGGAACTCCACTGGCTTAATGACAGTACACAGGACAGACACCAGGCATCAGTCACTGGCCCCTCACAGCATACAGGGATAGCTCCACTGGTCCCTCTCCACCATGGATAAATGATGCACAATAGATGTGTTCCACCTTTCCCCCCCCCCCCAGAGATCTTCCCTTAGACTTTTTTTTCCTCACTGATTTTGCTGTCAAAAACGCTGAATCTCGGCTCTTCCCCCAGCGAGGTGTGCGCTCCTGGCTTCCCTCAGGGGAGGACGACGATGCAGGGTCGGCTCTTTGTCTTCCCTCCTCCGGCGCCTGTTGCACATTGAATCCCCCCGGGTGACTGTTATGTCTGCAGCCTTTGCTCTACATGGATGACTACACAGCCCATCCACACTACAGCTTATAGAAAGAAAAAACATTGCAAATATGAAAAATGCTTGATTTTTCTTGATTTTTGTGCTTTTACCTGTAATGTTTTAAGTTTGTGACAGGTTCGTTTTAACACCATTACTTGTGAATCATATGTACCTTAGTAATGTTAGAAGTGTTTTATTTTATGCAGGTGTTTTATATAGCGCTGACCATTTATGTAGTGCTTTACGTTCTATATGTTCACATCAGTCCCATCAAAAATATTACGATCTATGGTCCCTATATCACAGGTATACATGTGCGTTTACTAGGGTCAATGTACTAATTTACAGTGCTGTGAAGATATTTGCCCCCTCCTGATTTTATTTTTTTGCATATTTGTCACACTTAAATGATTCAACCCCCCCCCCCCCATTGCTATATCATGTGATAACTAATTAACTACTTTTTTTTTTTTTTTCCTTTTGAAAATCGTTACATTGCACTTAATACACCGAGGTCTTATTACTGGTAGAACCATTGTATCAAAAATCACTCAAGTAGAAGCTGTCTGACAAAATGAAGCACACTAAAAGATCTCAAAAAAAGCAACATGCGGTGATCTAAAGAAATTCAAGAAAAAAGATTATAAAGTGATTGATGCAGGTGTAGCGCTCATAATGGAAAAACCATTATGAATCAAACCTGGAGTCTTTTACAGGGTTTTTACACATTGCTTTGCAGGAAAATAAAGATCATTTTCTCCTGCAATGCAAAGCTTGCTGTCGTTAACCTAACTCATTCATGCACTGACATGAACGTGTTAGGTTTTTGACAGCTCAAGATAGTGATCTATGATTGGCTGAAGCTGGTCACATGGTACAAGTGCTGTGATTGGCCCCGTGTATCATGTGACAGCTGTGGGCCAATCTCCGCTCACTAGGAAGTGAGCAGCGCCCCCCTGTGTTTGTCACAGCCAGAGCAACGTACGGGTATGTCGCTTTGCCTGGCCGCATTAGATTGCGGGCAGTCAGGAAGCGGTTATTCAAGATTCCTTGCACACACTGCAGGAGCTATTCTCTATCCAGATCAGCAGTTGCTAAGCACTAGCATTGGACTGTGTACCTGATCCGAGCTGTCTTGGACATGCAGGGCAAGCCTAGAATGTGACCTTCAGGTACTGGATTTTTGCGTTATGTTTTCCAGACCAAAGTCTCTGAGGACTTACTTGGTAAGGTCTGTTGGGCTGAAGCAATGGTAGCTACCGTGGAGTCTCTGAAAGCTTACTTGGTAAGACCAGTTGGGCTGAAGCACTGGTAGCTACTGTGGTAAGGGCTGAGGCTTGAGGGATTGAGCACCGAGTTCATCTATTTGGTAAAATGCTTTGTGCATGCACTCCGTATGTTCCCACCAGCAGCATCATCACTTTGCTGCTGCTCATTCTTGAAGCGCCACATGGCTCCTGGTCTCCAGTCTGTCTCCACTGCCTGCCGACTGTGACTGGTTCACCTTGCATGCTTGGGACCCTGAAGCAGTTTGCATGAAGCATCTGATCCATTTACCTTTTTAGAGGTTTGTTGTCTTTTCGGACCTGTTCTTGACGCAAATAATTCACAATGCCATGGGTGTGGTGGTGTGGATGGGGAAGCGGAATCTTACACTGCAATCATCTACTTCAGTAGTCAGTACATGTAGGAATTCTGAGCCTACCTTCTCGTCAAGCCATAGACTAGGTTTGTAGCCTTTCTGCATGAAGGTGTGCCCCCACTTTTACAAGTGAAGTTGCGGTTTGCACATCTGGATGGTTCCTTGGGTAGTTAGCCTTTTCAAAATTCATGTTCTCTGGTCATCTACTGTAGTTCATAGGCTAAGCTCTTCTGTTTGGTATCTCCATCAGCTGTTCCTCCCCAGTCTTTGGTGCACACAGCAGTGTTTTTTCCCTGATTTGGATTGATCACCCCCAGGGACCCATTGTTCCTACTACAGTACAGCCTTACCTTTGGGGTATCCTTTCATGAAAGTGCATTATCCTTGTATTCTGTTTTGAACCCCCCCAAACTCACACGTTTTCCTCTTCCTGGGGGGAGGGCCTCTGACTTTCAAAGTTGAAAAGGATTGCTTTCTGCTCTTCTGTTCCTTAACTTTGCACTGTCCTGCATAGACTTCTGGTGCTACTTGAAACTCAGTGACTAGTTCATGTTCATCCTACTGCCTTTTCTTGTTATCCCCTGTTGTGGAACACTTAGACATCCTTCCCTGAAAATGTTCAGTATTTTTTAGACTTGCAGTCAAAACACTTTGGAGAGGTCTAATAGCTGCAAGCATCACCCTGTTCAGACTTCATAGGTGGTAAGCATGATAGTTGTGATTCCATATCAGGAGAGGTTTTTCAGCTCAAATCTTCATTTAGGAAGCCCACTCTCTGTGGGGCTTTGCTCTCCTCCTTATTGGGTAAAAAAAATGTTTCCTTTTTCCAAGCTTGTATAGTGCAGAGGGAATATCCTTCAAATGTAGTTTCCCCTTTTTCTTACCTTTCAGTCCAGATGGTCTTTCTGAATGTAGAAGTTCCTGGAGTTACCTATCACTACTTTTTTTTTTTTTTTTTCTTCCCCCCTCCCACTTTGGACAGACTACATTTGTTTGTGCGTCTTCATACTTGGCTGCTCTTTCTGGTGCCCAAAACAGGCAGTTTCTGTTTCTTCTGGTGATGCTTGGGTGACGTGACATTCTGACTTGGTATCTGTTGAACAACACTTGTGTTGCTGGGCCTTCACTTCCTTGATGGTTTTAGAGCTTTCTTTATGACCGTTTAAAGTGGTCTGACCTCTATGTTCGATGACACAGTGCTACTTTTGCCCATACTCTGCTCTTTGGAAACATTGCATCACCATCTGACTCCTATCTACTGCTGGTCTCTACACAGAGTGAGGATTCTGCACCTGGTTACTTATCTCCTGCATGAGAGGAAGTATCTGTTGCTCGGTGTTGTGCTTCCCTAGATTGTCAGCAGGCAGAACACCCTGGACTCCTGCTGCTGGTACCCTCTGAGTAATTTCAGAGACTTTTGTGGAATCTGAGAGTTGGGTCCTTCCCCTGTGGCAGATGTGCTGTTGGAGTTTTTCCAGGCTCCTTCCTTGTCCCTGTTCCAATTCATGCTTTTGCCCACCCCTCAATTGTACTGCTTTTGGATGTCCCGGTGGTTTTATAGCCTGTGTCTCAATGGACAGTAGAGAAAATAAGCTTTTTGTGTTTTGTCCATTGGGCGACACAGGTCCCACCCCTCCATTTTACTGTCCTTGTGCATTGCTTTCTTACACAATTGAGGCATGCTGTGTAGAGGAGGCGTTTAATAGGGACTGGCTTACAAATTTTTGGTTTTCCAGAGTTCCAACCTTCTGTAAGTGACTGTTTAACCTGACTGTTTCTAAATTCCTGTGTCCCTCTATGGACTCCTTGAGAGCTTTTATAGCAAGTCCGAAAGTCCTATTGTTTTTAGTTTTAATGAAAAGTTAAAGTAGAAGGGTTATAACCCCTGTCAGGCTTTTTTTCTTTTGTTTTCTGCCATCTGTGTCCCATTGTGGAGATTTACCTTCACTTCCTGTCCCATAGCCAAACAGAGGAAAAACTGGCAAATGAATGTAATTCCTTGGGGACCCCCAGGCACCAGAATTAGTGTCCTCTTTGTAAGATTCCCCTCTTATGT